TGGGAGCTCATTCTCCCGCCTCGTTCTCGTCCACGCGGCATCCTTTACGGTTGTATCGGAGCCCCGTCAACGCTTGCGTGGCTTATAATAGACAAAGGAGACTAATGCTTTGAGTTTTGGATTTTTTGGTAGAATAGTGTGGAGTTAATTTAGGCTGCGAAATTTATGGCGACATCATTTACGGAGTATTCGTATATATAGTATGATAATTTATTGGGAGATATATATTTGGCATGTTTTTTGGGTCCTAATTGTGCATGTGTGTTCCAAACCACTTCAAATTTGTTATCGTTATTATTGGTATTGTTGTGAATATTTACTTTTGGAACATAAAGGAGTTGATGCTTTTGATATTATGGCATTTATGTGTTGTTTTAGTAACAGGTTGGAGGATGTGTTTTTTGATGCTCCTGATTGGGTAAGAGATACAAACTCAGTTAGAAGACACATACTTCACAATATTATTTTTTGGACTTTCAAAGCTAGTAATAGATAATTCTATTATATGTGCATGACTACTTCGTAAATAATTAGGGGGTGAAGAAGTCGTTCGTTGTGAATGCTCTCTCTAGTTTTCCTTTTCAATGTATTTACGATATCCTCCAGTGTCATATTAGAAAAACAAACAATTATGTTTAGATTTGATTGCATTCCTTAAAATCTTCTAGTTGAGGTAAAGTTTCAACACTATGTTCCATTTTATTAGTTAAATAAGAGAGAATGCGGGTTTATTCTCTAAAAATAGCTTTACATTATTTTGGTATTTTTTTAATATCCAGTGCTGAAAAGGCAGACTGCTCATAAATCGCCCTTTGTATCCAAGTTGAAGGCTTCAATTCAACCAAAGAAGATGCTTCTGCATAGTGGAGACCAACCATTCTTTGACTCCATATAATAGGAGTGCACTATTAAAATTCTCTATGGACCTTCTTCTTTTTTTCTTTCTCCCCCCCCCCTAAAAAACTGCCCTTCAAGTATGAAAATTTTAAAATTAGAGTCACTATCTTCAATAAATTAAAAAGGCCTTTGTTTCAAAGGCTGGTTCAATGAACAATTCAACTGTAGGTATCAACTTCAAGGAATTTGAATTCTCATTTTTTAATTTTTTTTAAATGTATTGCATGTTGAACTGGAAAAATTAGTTGGAATTGACCACAATATTGAATTGAGTGGCTTTATGCCAAAATAACTTGGGGAGATATATGGATATGTACAAGAATCCCCAAATTACTAATGAAACAACACAAATAGTGCAAGTGGCAAATGTCAACCTTCAATAATTCCCCAGTTGCAACTATGCAATTGTTTTTGTACTTATTCAAATTATTGCTTAAGGGACATTATTTTGATGGATATAGGTGCATGGCAAACTTCCCCATCATGGAGTGATATGGGAACAAAGAATTTAAGCAATCTCTGAGGAAGAAATCACAACATAAAGAGATTTCTTCAACATATTTCTAGTTTATTTTGAATATTCAACAAAGAAAATGCCAGCACTCAGTGCAAATCAAGTGGACATGAATGGCCTTGCACTTGCGACTACATTTTCATTTAAAAACTTCCTACATTTAAATTTCAGTGTGAAGTGCACAGTTTGATACATTTACTAATAACCAAATCCCTTGAGCACCATTTCCTGCATTGTGCACATATCTTTCCAATAATTGAAGATAATGCAATCTCAATGCAGGATCATAACTTAATTGCAAGCAAGGCAAGTTGGAAAAAAATATTTTAAAAGAATGCATTTAATTACTTATAATTCTAGCAAGATTTCTAAAGCACTACAGGGGGGGGGGAGGGACTTGGGCACTGGAAGAGGACTTGCCAAGATCTAAAAAGGAATATTCTCCATTGGAGATTATATATATTTATTTATTTGCTTTCTCATGGTCTTCACATTAATGAAATACTGGGGAAGTGGGTCTGGACGTTGGGTGCTGCAAAGACTACCCAGGGTAGATCAGCACATCCTTGGACTCAACAATAACTACAAACATATATAAATGTATATATATATATATATATATTCTAGTCTTGGAATGGGCCCGGGTTTAACAATTGGTGGTTTTTTGCACTAGAATCATGACTTGTTTTTGGAATTGTCAAATATTCCTATGGGTCGTCCATCCATCCATCAATCCACCCAAGTTTCAGAGGAAAGACCATCTGTGGTGACTTGACATAGGTCATGATTCATGAATCAAAGGAGAGAAAAGGGGGCTAGGGTTAGGGTTGTATGTGGGCTGAAGTCACAGTCTTCCAACATTGGCAACAGTGTATGACAATTCTCTCAAGTAGACAGACTCCAATGCCTGCAGCTTCTGTAGTGGAGCCTCATTTTTGAGTACAGAGACCTCATGTTGCAATGCCATTCGGAACTACTGAGATTTGGACTACTTTAGAGAGGTCTGGAGGTCAAAATGTAACACACAACTTCTCCAGCAAAACATCCATCCTCATTTGTGCGAGCTCATCAAGTTTTCCCCAAATTGTTTTGCTATTTGAAAGTTTGATTGTTGGGTCCATATCCTCCTGCATCCATAGCATTCACCACCATGACATAGACTGACTTTGATCCCATCTTGACTTGTGCTTTGCTCCACTTTGTCGTTGTTCTTGTGTGTAGTTTTGTTGTGTTGTGTTGTGAGGTTTGCTGTTTGTGGTGCAGTTGTACTGAAATGTTGCAAATTTGCTAACTTCACTGTGTTGAGGTTGTCTTTAGAAACTGTATAAACAATGTATGGTAAATTGTTTAAGAATAATCTATAATTTACAAACTTGCCATTCCTAGGTTGCAATTGTTTCAAGTATTTTATTTAAAGGAGAATATAAAGGTTTTAACATTATTTTAAAGAAAAAGATTATTTTTTAAAATTTTAGGATGGAATATTATTGATTGCTTAAAAGACTTACAAGTTTTTAGTTTTGGAACATAAATTAATATTTATAAAAATAAAATTATACCTTCTTTTCAAATATAAAATTTACTTCACATTAAGTTTTAATTGAGGGAATAATTTTTAGTTTTTATTTAAAAAATAATAATACTATGGACTAAATTATTTTGAAAATGTTAAAATAATTTTAAATTCAGTTAAATATAAAAGTATACATATGCATTTAAAAAATATCCAAGTATAAATATTGGTGAATTAGTGATTTTTAATTTTTTATTTTTTATTATGTAATATGAAATCGAATAAGATTTTTGATACAAAAAATAAGAGTAAAAATATTTTTAATAGAAAAAAAAATGCTCCATATTTTAAAGACATAGATCAAGATAAACTTTAGAAAAGATAACGTATTTATGTATTATAAAGAAAGAAAGAAAGAAAGAAAGAAAAAATACCAACTACTTGGAGTTTGATAGAAGAATCATATATTTTATTATATATATTAGAAACAAATGAATATGATATTGCTTGTTAATTCATTGACATAATATAAACCCATGTATTTCATTGATGCAAATAAGTAAAACAAAGGATTACAAAGGATGGATAATAATTCCTTGCAAGCAATGAATTATAGAAATTAGCTCATCTACCTTATAATTATACAAGTATATGATTGCAAGTGAATATTTTTGTACTAAAAGAAATATATTGGACTAAGTTTTAAGATAATAACTAAGACTAGTTGCCAAAGCATTTTCACAAGTGGCAAGTATGGATTTAAAGAAAAGATTTATATTCATTGTTTAATTCACTATCATTAGAACTATAGGTGCAACAATATTAATAATACATTTAAAATTGCATCAAATAAATGAAAAGGAAATCTTTTTGAATAGAGAGTTAGAAAAAGACATTTATTTGGACCAACTAAATAGGTTTGTGTAAGAGTGCAATGATTTTCTTTTATGCAAGTTAAGAAAGATATTGTATAGATTTAAGTACTTGTCATAAACATAATACTAATGCATTTACACCTTCTTTGTAAATAAAAGCTTTATTAAGAGTTTAAAAATAAAAATCTTTGTATTAGTGCAAAAACAATAGCAATAATCACTAAACATAATTTTTTTTATCAAGTGCATTTGTAGATGTTCAATACATTGATTTAATAATAATATGTTTTTTAAAAAATAAGAAAATCACTATTTTAAAAATTCAACCATTAGCATGTAACATAAATTTTAAAAATATTTCATCATAACTACTAATCTGTTAGCTTAAATCTTTGTGATTGTAATTAAAAATTTATATTTTGAATACCATTAATGACCATTACCTTAAATATTTAAGTATTTTATATTTTAAATACCATTACCTTACACATGTCATTACATACAATGTTATCAAACTAGACACCAAGAAGACACACACAGTAAAAGAGTAGAAGTAACTGATTATGCAAAAGAAATCTACATTCCTGTACAATTAAATAGTTTAAACAAAAGACTGAAAAAATATTAAATATAAAATGATACTTTTTGTTCAGTTTCAAAGAAACATATAAGGCAGTTGAATATGTTCTATAATTTACAATATCAAATAAGATATCTACCCAAAATTACTTCAAGTTAAGTGCAAGAATAATTGCAAAATTACAAACAATCAGAGGACTCTATCTTCCCTGCTTGTCCTTCATTTGAAGCTCTTCCAGTCATACACATACACAAACACTAACATGTGTCCACAAATTCATTTAAAGAAATCAGCATCTACACATTAGAATAATGATTCAAGTACAATTTGGAATAAATTTGGAATAAAAATTTGCAGGGAGTATTCTATCTCTATGCAATGCTTTCAGAAATGCTCTGACACTGCCAACTTTACATGGGCAGTGGAAACAGTAATGAACTGCTCACGAGCACCCACAAACGACACCATATCTCGATGGTAGAAAAATGATACTTTGTATGTTCCTTGATACTTATTTCCTTGGACTTTTCACCGAGTAAGAAGAGTCACATTAACTCTGAAATCTATGACGGTGAGTATGAAAGAGAGGACATTGAATAACATAGGATTGTGTGTCAGGAGTGTCGGCAAGAAGAGTTTCCATTGCAATCGCAACAACCGAGAGTGAGACTCGGAGTTTAATGAAAAACAAAATTGGGTGAAAGAAAAAAGCACACACAGACAGACTGCCCACAAGCTCACTCGAAGCATGGCTTCGACTTTACAATGTATGTACTCTAGAATTACTACATACTTTGCGGCGATGATCTTATTGTACTGCGTCGGGGTCCTCGCCGCTGTCTATACCACCTCAAAGAGGTCTGAGAGACGATTGATCCTTCATTGCCTTGATTGCACTTTAAGTATCCTGTTTTTTTTTGCCTCACTCGCATTCTACGTGCGCCCCAGAACGGTAGTCTCATCTTACGTGAGTCCAAAGAATGTTCAACTAATGTACAGATGCAGCGATTGTGAAATGCTCCGCGACTACCGCAGATGTAACATACACGTCTTAGGAGGTTAGGTACTATTCTACTCATGCATGCGTGCCCCAGTCTGATTACTCTTAAAGAACGGCGCGCTCTGAAGCGATCCGCAACTGGGGCTCGGGTGCGGAGGAATTAAGGTTCGGGGGGAAATGGCCATGTCTTTCAAGGGAATGTAAAACCACCAGTGCCCGCTGCGTCCGCGTTCGAGGGGCTGATGTACACCCACAGGAGAGAGATGATGACGGAGAGAAGACCCGCCCACACGAAGACGATGGTTGGCGTCTTACCGCCCTTGCCCATGAGACCTTTGAAGAAGGGATACAAGTGCATGAGCACCCACAGGGCGAAGAAGACTCCTCCCAGAAGCTTGCTCCATTCGGGTGAAGTGGCGTAGACGGTGCGGGAAAAGCCCACGGCGATGGCTACCATGTTAGTGATACCGATGGTGATGGGAGGAATGAAGAGAGACGACCACTTTACAATGTAGAGATCAGCGTAGATGTCATCTTCGTCCTCTCCGGCTGACTTGGACGTTAAAGTGAAAGAAATGTCGACTCCGGCCATGACCTTGAGCAGACCCTGGAATACAGCAGCAAGATGGGCACTAGTTCCTCCGATCACCCAAAACTGCTCATTTCTCCACCATTCCTCCAGAGAGATTCCGGACCACTTCACTTCCAGAACGGCGAGAGCGCAGAGGGTGACGGTGATGGTGAGAAGGTAGATCAAGAAAGAGAGATTCAAGTTCTGCACGATAAATTGACCGGTGAAGAGAGAGAGAGCGGGAAGGAAGCAGTAGACCAGAAGAAAGATGGAAGTGAAGGGGTAGATGCCGACATTAAGGTAGGCAACACGCTGCAAGAATTTGAGACGGGAGCTGGCCAGAAAAGCATTGTTGCGAGAGAAAAAAATCTCGACGGATCCTGTAGCCCACCGAAGCACCTGCAATTTTCCGATTGGAGAAGACCATTAGTACGCATTTCATGCCATTCACCAATTTGGAGGAGCAGCAAAAGAAAAATCCTGACATTGGTACAATCAAATTCAATTATCTTGCACCAATTTCTAAAGAGAGGCTTATTACTTGGTGAAGACGATCGGTAAGATTGATTGGAGCAGTTCCCCGAAAGGCATCGCGCTTGGTAACACAGTAAATTGAGCGCCAACCACGATTGTGCATGCGGAAACCAGTGACCACATCCTCTGTCACGGACCCGTAAATCCATCCCACTCGACCTCCCCACTCAGTTTTGTCCTCGTAGAAACAGGACACCACGTTGATAGCCTCAGCAACTGTTCCGGCGTCCAAAGGCTCACGGGGGATAGTGAGGGCTCCGCTAGGGCGACCATTGAAGACACCCTTATCTGCAAGAGGTCGCCCTTGGAATTCTGCCACAGGGATGGAAGCGGCGAAAACAGCAGAAGAGCCATAACGCTTCGGAAGCATGGTGGCTTGAATATCATCGTCACTGTCGCTGGTGGTGTGCTCCGTCAAGCCTGTCACCTCTGACGCCCGTTTCTCAGATTTAGATTGCTTCTTCTTCTTCGTGGGTTTCTTTGGTCCGCAACAGCTGCAGCAGAGGGTGTAGCAGCAACCACGTTTAGGTAGCCTGGGGGGGTCAAAACCGTAAAGCGCAATTCGTCTGAACACACACCCCGTTCCGACATAAACAGGCCCTTGCAGTCCATCCAGAGCCCTCATATTCACGTCGAAGAAGACGGTGTTGTGGTTGGCGTATCGATCGTTCGGATCCACGCCCTCAAAACGCTGAGGGAACTGCACGTATGCAATGCGGTCACCGCCCTTGTCCATGAAGAAGCACATGGCCTCTCGGATAGCGAGAGAATTGAAGATGTAGTGATCACAATCCAGATTGAGAATGAAGGGCCCGTTAGACATTACGGCACTCGTTCGCACAAGTGCATTCATAGCTCCGGCCTTTTTGTTGTGATCGTATCCCCGGCGCTTCTCGCGAGACATGTAGACAAGCATCGGCAGACGGATATCGACGTCCGTGGTGTCGATGATGTTCTCTTCGTCGCTGCTGCCCATCAGAGGCTCGGCAGTGGGAGGCGCGAGCATCACCTGAATGATGCCTGCGTGGTCTCCTCTACCATGCTCTTTGCCAGACTGATTCCATGTTCCAGGCCAGTGTGTCCCGTCAGCCATCCAAGTAGCCTTGGGAATGTTAAGAGGCTCCGATGGATCAACTGCAGACTCCATCTGTTGGCGCTTAGCTCGAATCTCCTCGTGAGCATTGTAAGCGTCAGACCGACGACGGATAGAGTCAGGCAAACCATTGACGCGCACCTTGAACTCATCGTACTCTCTCTTCACCTTACGGCGATCCTTCACAAAATCGGAGCGAACCTTGTTCTTTGTTGGATCCCCTTTGAGCAGGAAATAGGTTTCGGGATTGCGAGGCTCTATCTTATGCTTCCTGCAGAAAGGGATCCAAATGCGAGCAAAACTTGCTGCCTCGGCCAAAGCTTCGAACGATAGAAGCGCACCACCATCATCAGAAAGATAGCACGCAAGCTTTTCCAAAGGATACTCAGCTGCTAAGATGGACAGGATTGTATTAGCAGTTGTGAGAGGAGGCTCTTTCTCGGGATCGGCTGTGGAGACAAAGATGTCGACGCCAGGGAGATCAGACCTGCCGGATGGATTATCTGGTGACGGCATGTCGAACCGTTCTTTCAACACGGTCAAGTCCGTGAGCCGATTGATGGGGCACAATTTTGGCATCTGATCAAGAATCCAGGAGAAGGCAAACCAAATCTCGCAAACGACTGACATTCCCCAAAGCCAGATGGCGTCGGGATTCGGATGATTTATTCGCCACATGAGGAACAAGGCAAGTACAACCATGCGGATGAAGACGATCAACCTATGGACAAGCACATTGAGTCAGAACTAAGGCAGAGAATCTTCTTTGTGGATCATGTCAGACATGGTACATTCATTCATGATGAGAACAGGCACTTCGGGATATAAAGTTCATTGCTCCGGTTTAAGACCAACCTGTATGGACTCAGAATACCAGTAGAGATGCTGATTTTTCTTGTTAGCGGGCGCCGCACTTTATCATTAAACTCGGGCAAGGCTCCCAGGTTTGGGGGATTATTGCCGCCTCCACCGTCGTAACCATCTTCACCAGGCCAAACGGCGTTGCCATAACCGTAAGTGCCCTTAGTCTGGTACAACCACCTAGCATGGTCAAAATCTGCGGGGGAGCCATTGCCTACGATCATGCTAGGCTTCGTTTTCAGGAGCGAGAGACGGCGCTCCAATCGTGAGCTGTCGTCGCTCGGGGGCGGGAGGGCGCGCATGTCGGTCTCGGAACCGTCTCGGGAGAAAGGATCGTCCGCAACGGTGTACTCTTGTTTGCACCCCGGACATTTCCCAGAGCTATTCAAGGCATCGATGTAACAGTCTCGGCAAATCTTGAAGTGGCAGTCGCAAGGGGTCATGTCCTCCCCGCGCTCGTCCCTCATGGCCTTCCCGTCGCAGCCTTTGCAGGCACAGGTTGGGCCGCGGACGCCGGCGAGTTGGGGGTGATTGCCCTCGTTCTCCATCATCTTGTCCATCGTGTGACCCCGAGCTTGGTTCTTGAAACCCCCGGTGAAGATCGTGCTCGAAACGAATTGCTGCTCCGACTTCCCGGCGATAACGGGGTCAATCCCGCGCACAGAATCGCGGCTTGTATTCATTACTTGATTGTCAGGTGTGGCCGGAATTTGGACGGTGTATAAATAATCAGACCCCGTTTCGCTGTCTGTAACGCCGCTCATGTCACTTTCATCGCGGTACAGATTGTTATATCTTCCGCCCGCAGCCCCCCTAGAACTACGGTGAGTAGTTGAGCCGCCATTCACACTCTGACCCCCCGCCATTTGCATATTCTGCTGCCCAGCGCCGCGGAAACCGAGCCCACCAGTTGCAGCAGACCTTGGCGATGCCATGCCTGCCTTTGAAAGGAAGACTTCTCCTTAGTCTTCAAACATACATGCGAACCTTGTAAGTCCCGATTGCCTGAGTGTTTTCAAAAATCTCAGACTCGGGATATGCTGTCTGACTGTGTCCACTCCAACATGTTCCAAGCTCCGCCAAATTGCTTCCGAGCTTCAACAATCACAACAGGCGACACACAAGTCAGAATTTAAACCGCGTCGTTCAAAAATTTGAACATACTCTTGCAATTCGCCTCCCTAAACATACTACGTTTCATGTCAAGAGCAACGAAGACGGCCAAGTCTGGAATAATCCTCCGCCTGGAAACCCACCGCGTCCACGTTCACGTTCGAACTAGTTCTACCCCCCCCCGAATTCGGACACAATAAACTCACAATCGCACCTAATTCCCTTCCCAGCCAACCAAAATCTCGTCGAAACTCACCAAATAGCACGCGGCTTTCACGGCGAGCACGGTGTCTCCGGAAACCCAAACTCTTGCAACTTTGCAACCATGCATTCAACGTTTCAGGTCAAGAAGCTGGTACGCATTCGCCTCAGAGTAGGCACAAACGAATGAGTGCAGGAGTTCTTCATCACAAGGATTCCTGTACTAGGTAGCTTCCTACCCCCAAGGCTTTGGGCTCTCCCTCCCCCACACCCTCGCACCTGACAGAATAACGATGGTTTACAGCGGTTCATCCTGGTATTTCCCAGCACCCCTCGAGTGATTACGTAGCCGCGACCAAATCGGAGCTTCATCAATCATCCTAAGCCCAGCTGTAAAGCAGTCAACTCAGTGGGGGGTGTGCAATTATTCTCCCCAAATGTTGCCCAAATTCCAATCCCTCGGCTGGAAAACCAGCGCCTAACCTCCCCATGCAGCTCCACGCGCTTGAATTGTTCCGGACGAGAAAAAGTTGTCGTCTCGATGGCATAGTGATTCGCTTCCCCTTCCACCTCCGCTTTGGCCTCACCTCATCATCCTGGACCCTACCTCTCCTCCATCCTGACCCCGCTACTGGAGATGGAAGAGCAAGTCAAACTTCGCATCGACAAGTCATTGCAGTAACTGTTCCGTCGATCGATCCATCGATCAAGGCATTATTCCGATGGACCAGCAGTCATCGTCTTGCATGTTGCCCGATATCTGACCAGTCATCGGCGGTAAATATCTTCACATCTCGCTTTGTTGCGATCGGCCGGTGCGGTCATTGCTGTTCCAGCGATGAACTGGCCATTGGGTCCCATCCGTCCAGGGTACTGAGCACATTCCGTGATTACGGGTGACTCAACACCAACAACATCAACACCTGTCTTAGTGTCCAAGCGACTTGTAAATTGTTGCGAGAGACAACCTGTTTCGCTATTGCCGATGCAGCTTTGACCGTCGGTTCTTTGCAGATATCTCTTGCTGGATCTTAAGGTCTTCCTAGATTTCTTAACCAGGACCTGTTTCTGTGTTGAAACCCGTCTCTGTAATTCGGTTCAGTGATCACTCTCTCTGAGGGGCAAGTCTTAATCCAGCTATGTCTGCCACTGTCTGTGTTTGCAAGTGAATAACTCATTTTTCTTAACTATGTTCCTTCTACTACTACTACTACTACTTCCCTGACATGAGTGAACAAATGGACCAGGCAATTGAAGAGCTTGAAACCTTGTTGCCTATCGTTTATTAACCGACTGGATGGTTAGCTGGCAAGTAAAACAATGTCGAAAATAATCATGTGGAAGTTTCGAATGAAAACAAATGAACAAAGCACGTGAACATTGCATACGGTAACTTGACAGAATACCATTTTTAAAACTCTGTCTAGAAAAGGAAAAAAAAAAAAAAAAAAAAAAAAAAAATCAGAAGAAAAATAGAATAGAAATGAAAAAAGAACCACAGTTGAAAAGGTAACAAAAAAGTTGGTAATTTTTAATATAAATAAACCAGGTAGTACTATTGTAAATTTGCGAATCTTAACATTGAGTTCGTAAAGTACTGCCCAGTCTCAAAAACAGTAAAATATTAATAGCACAGAAAAGAGTTTGAATAATTCAGGGAAGAATATGGTCAAACGATCTAAATTTAACAATTCCGAAAATGGATTACGTGAGTCACCTCCCTCATGAATCGTGAAGCCCATCGTGAGCTTTCATCCATGTAACCCATTTTGGCAAGAAGTTTACACCATGACTGTGGTGTTGGAGCTTCCTTAGGATGCTCTTTCCTTGAACCTACACTTCAATTATTTCACAGAAAGAGAACATCTCAGAAAAAGGATGCAAGATTGGTTTGTTTTTTTATTTTCAAACCTAAGGCAAGATTGATTCACATATCAACAACAGCTTGCCAGAACACATGAATGAGTCCCTGGTCTAAAGTCAAGGCATGAATTTATTGTTGGGAAAATCAAGTTGCTGAGTTGTCAATCTGTCCTTCATTCCCTTTTAAAAAAGAAATCTACCCTAGAGATTACACACATGCACAAACACACACATAAATAAATAAATAAATAATATAATATAAAAAGAAATAAAGACAGATGAAATATGTCTGTGTTTTTATGTTTGCCGCAAATGTATACTGTTTATTGCAATATTGCAACTAATTTGTGATATTTTTTATATAACACTTTTTCTTCTGAAGTATGTGAAAATCTTAGATTTTATCATGGGATGTAAATGTTTCTTCTTGCACCAAAACTTGACCATAAATAGATAACCAGTCATGTATTCACAAAGTTCTGTATTCAACAAACTTACACCAAGATCTGCATCACTTCAGAGAGTGCTTTTTTGGAAAACCCATAATTTATAAAAGGTAATTCTTTCATACAAATCAATTATCAAGTGACTTATTTTTGTATTAAAAAGTACAACTTCTAATTGTTTTCCTTAATGTATTACCTAAGTAAGCGTAAGTGAAGCAAAGTCCATATCCCTATGAGTAGACCCCCTTCTGGCTCCTCCTAAGCTTGTGTTCATAATCCAGCAAAGCAAATGTACCTTTGTAGACACATGTTTCATGCCACTAGATGAATGAGGTGAAGGATGCATCCCTAAGGACACCGGAGTATGAGCCCCTTTGTCACTAACCAAGCTTCTTTGATTGTGAAGTTGCCACGCAAAAAGTACTGATTTATGTATGGTATCCAAACCCCAATTGAGATATTTCAAACAAAAGGAAGAAGACCAAAAAAGAAAAAAAGACTTTGCAATGCTTGCACTTTCTTTACACCTTGAGTTGCATTTTTGTTTATTTATTTATTTATTTTTATTTTAAGAATTTTATTGTCTGTTATAAAAGTAGGAGAGTATGGGAATTTGCAAACTCCACCTTAAGAAACAAAACATGATTCTCCGACACATCACATAAATCCTTTTCACAATAACAAACCACTGATTTGGTTTTTGTTATTTTATACATTTAATGTTAAAATTTAGGAGTGGAAATGCCCAACAGTATTTTTGCTCCTTAGCTTTATAAATTGAGATCTGATCCTATAAATGGTAGAGGACCATATAAATGGTCATTTTTTCTCTATTCTTTTGGGACATGATTTGGCCTCCTTATATTAGAGCTTTTTCCAAAAAAATCCTAATTTCTTTAGAATAAGCTTAGCAAGATGCCCTAAAATAAAGCCCCAATAGTATTCCTCCATAGGGTTGGAAGAAGTACTACCTGATATGATCTGTGCAAAGGAATATTGATCTACAATCACAACAATCATGTCAAGGTATACACATCAAATTCACTATGGTGAAGGAATTGCAGACCTCCTACAAATCTTTTATAGGAATAAAGTTTGACCTCATGTCAAACCCATGATTTAATACTAATTAAGTCCTTTTAGCACTGTGCTTATTCTATGAAAAGCTTGATTGCAAAGAGTACAATGCACTTTTAGTAGTTCCTTGACTAGATGAATTTCAAAAATACCCTCACAACTCATTATGAGACCAAGAAGGCACTCATATTCAAAATCAATCAAGACATTGTAGATGTGGTTATTAATGACATGTTATTCAATGCAGATGATGAAGAATCTACATCGATTTATGAACGAATATTATCAATTTTCAAGTTGTTCAAAGATACAAACAACAATCAAGTTGAGCTTAATAGAGAACAAGCTCTAAACCACAAAATATACACAGTAAAAATGAGTTCTTTGTGGTAGTTTCATCTTGTGATCAGCTTTGTTTTTTGTGGAGCTTTATTCCAATTAGCAACGCATCTTGTGGATGTCACAAAAATCATGTCGCACATGGACTACTTCAATGGATGCAATGATAATCATGTGGCTTTATTTGTGAAGGTCGTTTATATCATGAGTTTATAAAAAATCACCATACTCCTCCATATGCAATGAATATTTTTGCTCACTCTTGACATTGACTCAAAGCAAGGCACTTCTTACTTTGACTTTTAAATTCAATTTGAGAGTCAATCAAAGTTACACAACTTCCATCTTCTTGCCATTTTGTTTTTTGATTGCAAGACAACTGAAGTAATCTTCACTAAGACTGTAAAACTTTTATATGTTATTGCTCCAAAATAAAGGACACAAGTAGTTAGAATTAGCATAGATGGAAAACAGACAATAATTAAGTGGATTTTTGGCATCACAATGAAGATGGTTAAGATGGCTAGTGATGGGATTATGCGGGTGTGGTGTGCTCTGCACCAACTTGGCTTTGTGGTCCAAGTTGAGTATGTCAAGTTGTATGATAACTAATTCATCACCATCTTGATGGACTTTGTTTCTTATCTTTGCATGCAATATAGTCTCATCAAGAAGATGGATTGTACATGCCCAAAATTCATGGACATGTGATGGTCATCTATGGAAAAATTGAATGGATTTTTGTAACAAAGGCACATAGTGATTTGCAAGTATCTCACACAGAAGTTGCCTACATGTACCCCTCTTCCTTCTTAGTGGGTGGTACTACTTGTACTCAACAACATTGCAGAGGTAATCTTTATTATTATAATATGCTTGTTAAGACTAAGCACCCTTCTAAATAAAAAGAAAGCCTAGCTCGAAGGCTTGATTTAATCTTTGATAGATTTGTGCAAAGTATAAGGTCCATACAATGCAAAGACTCTAGCCATGGCTTACAATGGTCCAAATTTGGTCATCTATGGATCTTGGTGTATGGCTCTTATGAATGCACAAGCTTTCATTCAATATAAATGCATCTTCATGATGAGCCTCATGGATTCATTGCCTACAGCCAAGATTCAAGCCGTGGTTAATAACATGGTGACCTTATTTGCTGGGCTTATCAACAATATTGCATCTATTATTGCTCAACGCAATTGCAATAATAATGCCAACAATGAAGATATTTTGAAAGTACTACCATATAATTTGTATGCACTATAAATGTCTCTATTATGCGTATTTATCAGTTGGTATAAGTTGCAATTAGAATCAACTAGGTGGAATGCTCAATTCATTGAGCATATTAAGAATGACCATCAAGCCATGGTGTATATCTACCATGAGGAGATGACCTTCAAGGATGCGATTGACAAGTGCTTTGATTTACAAATAGAATTTTATGTGGGATGGGCTCATTGCAATGAATGTTCAGTTTCCATAACTTTTTTTTTGAATATCTTTTGGATGAGAGCACCCTTTTCCACCAAAATTCAATAGCCAATTCCTATAACTTTAATTTTTTTTGTAGAAGACTAACTTCTATTTTTCCTCATACAAGCATTGC